AACTTGGCTCTAATTTGCTTCATAAGTAACTCAAGCACCATAGAAGAGAGAGAAAAACAAAACTCTAATTACTCACTAGCCAACCATTAAAACTTCAAAAAAAGTGTGAAATAGCATTTTTTTTACCTTCTACAACCTCTCCACCAAAGGATTTGAGATCAAAACCTTTCCCCCTTAGTAGAGCAATTTTTAGCGAGGTGCCCAAGGCCTCCCCACCTTTCTTTCACGGGTTGGAGTGAGTGACCCGAGGAGGAAGAATGTGCTACAATTTTTTTATACGTGGGTCATTTGTAGGGGCGGTTGGTGATTGAGCCGCCCCTACAAATAGCAGGTAATTATACGTGGGACATTTGTAGGGGCGGTTCAATCACCAGCCGCCTCTACAAATATAAACACCGGGGGCGGCTGGTGAGTGAGCCGCCCCTACAAATTAGACCCAATTGTAGGGGCGGCTCGTATCACCAGCCGCCCCTGCTGTTACATTTGTACGAGCGGCTGGTCTCTGGGCTCCCGAACATGCCACTGTAGGGGTGGTTCCATCATGAGCCGCCCCTACAAAAAATTTGTCCCGTTGCTACAAATCGTTTTTCACGTAGTGAAATTGATTGCATCAAGACAACTTGAGTCTTCACAACTAGTCCATTCTATGATGGTTTTCGGTAAACTGTCACGGGTTAATCCATGACGCTCAATTCATGACGATCTCTGAAACCATCACAGATGCTGCATAGTGACGGTTTTTGGTGATCCATGAGAAATTTTTTATCATGGATTAACAGGTTCCTTGCAGTGGAATGATTTCTAACTACAAGGAACCTGTAAAACGATTTTCAGTGGCGGTTGTTGTATAACAGCCGTCTCCAAATCAAGTTTCTAGATGCGGTTGCCACAATGAACCCGCCCTTGACACTTGTTTTTCAATGATGGTTGTGGCAATGCAACTGCAACTAGAAACACATTGGTTTGGTATAAGTCCTCTTACAAATACAAACCACTTATTCAACGATTTGGCGAAATTAGGGCGTCACAAGCACAACCTAAAGTTATTGACAGGTGCAACAACATTTTGCTTGGCAATTTGGCTCTCAAGGAATGATTCATTTTTTAATAATTATCATTTGAAAACTGTTTTGCAGCTTCTTTTCAGGGGAACATATTGGCTACGATTTTGGATCCTGTTGTAGCTTTTGGATAAGTGCAAGGAGCATTATGGGCGTGTTCGCTGGTCTGGTCCATCCAGACCAACCGGCTGATCTCCCTCAGTAAACACTATTCATCAACCATCCGCTACAGTATTTCTCTCTCACAAAACTAGCCAGTTTCAGCCAAGTTTCAGACCAGCAAACGGGCCTATATCATACAAGCATGTTGGCTTCTAGAGACGAGAAACAAGATGCATAATGTTCTTCGCATCAAATGGATGGCCTTATGTTTTTCAGATTAGTCAATAATTTTGAATTTATTTTTTTGTTGTGTTTGTAATAATAGTGTACTGATTCTTCTTCATCGAATGAAGTATGAAGCTGGAACTCTTTTCCATTATCTAAAAAAAGTTTTGCACGTTGTGCTAAGAAGAATCCCAGAAAGGCAAAAACCATTCCTTCTCCATTTGCACATTTCTCTTCTCGGTCATCAACTCATCATGTTACATGTGCACGCGCTAGTACATGCGTACGTTACCTATGCTCTTATACACACACGCACGCACGTACCATGCGCTCATCTGAGCTTTCAATTCACGTCGCTAGAGCATGCATGGTGCGATCAACTGATCACTGCTTCTCCTGGCCTCCACGTCATGATTACTCTCATTGTCAGTAGAGCGTGCTGTGATCACCGCTTAGTATCCTTGGAACTGAGGTGGCGGCGGCGATGCGTACTGCTGCGCCATGATCGGTGGCAAGATGAATTCCTCAGGAGCCAGCGGTGGAGTTAATGATGGTGCTGGTGGAGGCGGCGATGGGACAGCCAGTGGAGGCGGTGAGCTCACCGGAGCAGGTGGTGGTGGGGATTTGACTGGTGGGGGTGGAGAGCTGACCGGTGCAGGTGGAGGAGGGACTTTACTGGAGGAGGTGGTGAGCTCACAGGTGTTGGTGGAGGTAGAGAGATCACTGGAGCTGGTGGGGGTGGGGACTTCACCGGCGGAGGTGGAGATCTTACCAGAGTTGGCGGTGGAGGTGGTGAGCTCACTGGAACTGGCGGGGGAGGTGATTTTACAGATGGTGGTGGTGAGCTAACTGGTGCCGCTGGTGGAGGGGTTTTCACAGGAGGCGGTGGTGAAATCACAGGAGTCGGTGGAGGAGGTGATTTTACAGGTGGTGGCGGTGAGCTAACAGGTGCCGGTGGTGGAGGGGATTTCACAGGAGGCGGTGGTGAAATCACTGGAGCCGGTGGAGGAGGTAATTTTATAGGCGGTGGCGGTGAGTTGACTGGAGCAGGTGGTGGAGGGGATTTCACCGGAGGCGGTGGTGAGCTCACTAGAGCCGGTGGAGGAGGTGATTTTACAGGTGGTGGTGGTGAGCTGACTGGAGCAGGTGGTGGAGGGGATTTCACCGGAGGCTGTGGTGAGCTCACCGGAGCCGGTGGAGGAGGTGATTTTACAGGTGGTGGTGGCGGGCTGACTGGAGCAGATGGTGGAGGGGATTTCACGAGAGGCGGTGGTGAGCCTACCGGTGCCGGTGGGGGAGGTGAATTTACAGGTGGCGGCGGCGAACTTACTGGTGTTGGAGGAGGTGGTGATTTCACTGGCGGTGGAGGTGATCTCACCAACACCGGTGGTGGCGGAGATCTAATTATCGGTGGTGGTGGAGGGATTTCACTGGTGGAGGTGGTGCACTCACCGGTGCTGGTGGTGGGGGTGATTTTACTGGTGGTGGTGGTGAGCTAACCGGAACCGGTGGTGGAGGGGATTTGATAGGAGGGGGAGGCGAGCTAATAGGTGCCGGTGCTGGTGGAGATTTCACCGGTGGAGGCGGCAAACTAATCGGTGCTGGCGGTGGTGGTGGGCTCACTGGGTGTGGTGGTGGGGACATCTTTGGTGGTTGTTTCTCCGGTGATGGCGCTGGTGGCAGTGGCTGTGGACTAACGTCTGGTGGCCTGGGAACAACCTTCTTTGCTGGTGTCGTAGGCCCCTTGGAACAGACGTTCGTGCGGCAGTCGACGGGGTGCGCGAGCACAGGTGCGCACTCAGGCGATGGCTTCTGCTCCGGGCGTCCGCCATCGAGGCAGTTGCCGCTGTCGTCGAGCGCCACCGGCGAGTCCTCAGACGGCACGCAGGCCTCTGCCTCGACGCTGAAGAAATTGTGCGCAAAGCTGAAGTTGGCGAGAGCCGGGAGCTTGCAGACGCGCTCTGCCACGGCGCCGGCGAGCTGGTTCCGCGACACGTCGAGCTGCTCCAACCTGGTCATGTTGACGAGCCCCTCCGGCAGCGTGCCAACGAGCGCGTTCCCGCTGACGTCCACCACCGTGGAGTTGACAAGCTCGGCGAGCACAGGCGGGATGCAGCCGTCGAGGCGGTTGTTGAGAAGCATGAGCTGGTCGAGCGTGTCGGCCATGCGGCCGACGCTGCGAGGGATGCATCCGACAAAGGCGTTGTTCGCGAGCACCACAACCGTGGCCGTCGAGTTGCCGAAGTTCTCCGGGATGAAGCCGACGAAGCGGTTGCTGTTGATGAAGATGGCGTCGAGGTCCTTGTCGAAGAGGTGCGGCGGCAGGGTGCCGTCGAAGTCGTTGAACCGGAGGTCGAGGTACTTGAGCACGGGAATCTGCAGCACGACGTCCGGGAACCCGCCGACGAAGCGGTTGTTGCTGACGTCGAGCTCGTGGAGGAGGGCGAGGCGGCTGAAGCTCTTGGGGATGATGCCACAGAAGCGGTTGGAGTTGATGTGGAAGAAGGCGATATCGGTGAGCATGCCGAGCTCGGCGGGGAGGTAGCCCGCGATGTCGCCGCCGTTGAGGTCGACGCCCGCGACGACGGTGGTTTTGGCGTCGTCGAGGGCTGGGACGCACGTGACGCCGAAGTAGGAGCACACGTCGGCTCCGACCCAGCCACCGGTGAAGTTCTTGGGGTCGGAGTACATGGCGCGGCGCCAGGCCTGGAGCGCGACGTACGCGCGGCGCAGGCGATCGTTGGCGAAGGTGACGTCCACGTGGATGTCGAACTCGAAGTCGTCGGGGAGGTCGCCGTCGCCCTCCTGCAGGGACAGCAGCTGCCGCCGTGCGATGTCGGATGCCTCGGCGTCCGAGAGCGCGGCCGCCGTGGCTGCTGCCGCGAGCAGGATGGCGGCGAGGTAGACGAGAGCGAGGCTGCTGTCGTTCCGGCAGCGGCGCAGGCGAACCACCGCGGCCGTGGCGCGGCAGGCGGCCTCCATTGTTGGCGGGGAAGGGGCAGTGCGGGAAGCCACCCCTTGCAGGGCTTCCTATATGGATGGGGGGAAGATATAGGCCTGCGGCGAGGAGAGGACATGGCCGGGCGAGCGGCGGCGCGCGTGTCCCGGAGGTGCCCGTTGCGCTCTGGTGGTTACCGTGTCTTTTGGCGGGAAAGGAGGGACACGTGGACAGCTTCTCGGACTGTCTGTTCCTCTCTTCTCTCTGGGGTGAAGTGTCAATGTGCCATGTGATATCCTAAATCTGGCCTCCAGTGTAGTGATGGTGTAACAAAGAAATTTGGAGTGCACAAATGGTGTTGTTTTTTTGTTTATGCGTGCTGATATGTTGTCCTATATTGTCCAGCAAATTTCGGCGTTCACGGAATTTCGCATTTTTCACTAGGTACCGAATAAAATAATACATCTGTCAAAATTTTCACTCGAATTTGGCCCACGCCCAAATTCCGTGCCGAAATGGGCTAAAACTCCAATCGCCGCTAGCCAACCCACATACACTTCACATCTTTCCTTTTGTTTTCCCAAAAAAAATCGCCATGTAGAAATCATTTGTTGAAACATGAACCACCATGCAGTGAAACATCTCAGTTTTATTTGTGCAACATGATAAATCATTTATTGAAACATCTCGATTTTGCTGCAACATGGAGAAAATCAACAAAGTGCAACATCCTCAAAATATTAGAGGCCTAAGTAAGGTAATTATAAAATTAATTGTGCTTGACTAAACTTTTAATGCAATGCAGCATCTTGCTAAGTTTTATTTTAAAAATCATGCATGTCATATCCAGTTCATATGCAAATATACAATGAAATTTGTATTACAGTAAAAGTTCCTAAAACTCTCCGTAGTGTTTTCTTAAAGCTCAAAGTGTTTCATGTTTACTGATCACCAATTTGAATGCATGTGTACACCTCCTTGGCTTCCTATTCTTTAGAAAAGGAAAAGAGCAATTTCACTCCCTCTATGGGCTGAAACGTTGGCAATTGTGGCCTGATCTATTTTGCTTCTTTTTCTTCCCATGCTAAAACCTTTTCTTCCAATTAAGCTCACTCGGACTAGTTGAGCACGATATATTTTCATTGTCCACCTCCTGTATGCCTGCTTACGGCTGCACATATTTCTGACGTTGTTGCCGTGAGGGCAATTTCAGACCACGCGTCACTTTTTAGCTTCCTCTCTCACACTGTTGCTCAGCTGAGTTGCCCTGGGGTTGAAAAGTCAGGCTGAAAAGTATTGTTCGTTGATTTGTTGTAAGAAAAAAATATTGTACCATGGCTGATAATTTCAGGCGAACAGGGCCTTAGGCAGTAGCCTTGCAGCTTTGACACTATCTTGAGCAAGTCGGAAACAGGAGTACAGCTAGAGTGCAGTTCCTCTATGAGCTGCTTGATTTTTTTGGACATGGCCACCCGGTCAAATGGCAAATTTCCAATATGGTCACCATCAAGATCCATGGCATTGCTTGTGCTATGAGTGTTATGGGCAGCGGCGGCAACATCATCATGTGAACGGCAACAAGAGAAGCATGAAAGCCAGTTACCAGAAGTGTGGCGAGCAGCATGGCGGGCATGCTGAGCATGAGCGGCGAGGCCATCGCCAAAGTCCGGAGTGGCATCTTGAGTCCCGACCAGCTTGTCCTGGATCATGAAGTAGTGGAGCTCGTCCAGAGCATCCTCAGCCTCGTCGGCCTTCTTGCCGAGCTTCTCAAGCAGCCCCTGCAGGCCAGGTCTGCGGGTGAGGTCCCCCCCCCCCGGACCTCGTCCAGCAGCCCTCTAGTGTACACCATCTTGCTTTCGATCTCGTCAAGACTGAGGCCGAGCTCGGTGCTGGACACGTAGGCTTTCACCAAGTCGTCGGAGAGCTTGTTGAGGACTTCGCCGAGGAACCAGTTCGCCACTCCGAGAGCCGCCTCCATCTCCTCCTCCGGCGGAGATGGACTTGGCTGCAGCCTGCCGGGGTAATCGGTTCGAGTAGGAACAGTGTGCTTCAAAGGATGCATGCTTTTATTAAAAAAATAGGCTGCATGCAGCACCCACCTATGGAAGAAGGGACCTTGGATGAGCTCCCAGCTGCTCTAGCTCCAACCCCACTCTCTACTCTGAGAGCGAGAGCGACAGTGAAACGTTTGCTACTGCTGATGATGAGTTGGCGAAGAACAGTGTGCTGCACGGAAAGGATGGTGATGCCTGATGCCATTCCTTTATAGCCGTTCAGGTAATTGATTGATGGCATTCGCGTACCACGCTGCCAAATAACAAAAATACCGTTTTATTTTGGACATTTGCCATTAGGCAACCAGGGGCCTTCGGATCCAGCTTCAAATGGTTATGTTGTAAAAAAAATTGGGTTGCGGGGTAGACAGCCCCGAGCTATTTTAGCTTAAGGTAGAGGACTTCTCACCTAACCCAAAAAGCCTCTGAACCTCATGCCTTGCCCGCACACAGGGGCTTGTTACATGGTGAGAGGGCCGGTCCATTTTACCTGTACTTTGGGAACACGGGACAGGTGAGGGGTTTTTTTTTCCACATCGCCCATATAAATTTGCCTTACCAAGGATTTGAACTTTGGTCATGCGGGACACCACCCGGAGGCTTGATTAAGGCCCCGTTCGCTTGAACTTATCAGCCGTACCGTTTCAGCGAAATAACAATGTTTTTCTCTCACAACAAATCAGCATCCGCACCAACCGTTTTTTCAGTCAGTCGAACAAGGCCTAACTGGTCTAGCAACCGTAGGCAAATGGTTACGTTCTAAGTTATTGTTTATTTCAGTTTTCATCCTACCTTAAACTTCTCTAATATTTATGCTATTTTCTACAAGCTTATTAAAATTTATCAATGAATATTTCTATTCGTCTAACTCGGTATTCAAACAAAACTCAATATTTTATTAAAATTAATATTGTAATGTCTTATGTTGTCTATATAAGAGAGCTGTAAAAACTAAAAGAAAAAAATAAATGCGACGATACACGATTGATCTAGATATTCTTATCATACAAAAAAATGGCTAGCATTTGCCATGTTCATTATGACAACGAATATTGATGGAAGACCCACGTTCTTAATTACAAGACGCATTAAAAAAAAAAAAAATATATGTTTAAATTTCTTTCATAAAAAACATAAACATCCATCCTTCAACTCGTTATGCATCATTTACTGCTACATAAAAGATTTCTAGAGACAATTGTAAAGAGTTCTTACCTGTATGTCTCCAGAAATTAATGATTTTTGAAGGATACTCGGTTAGTACCAAATTAAAGCTGCATCTAGAAATCATTTTTTAGAGGCGCCTAGGAACCTCAGCTGCCTCTAGAAAACATTTTTCGGATGCATCTGGGCTTGGCTTACTAGCAACCTTTGGAAACTAATTTCCTGAGATGACTCCTTTTCTCATTTGCCACGTAAAACAATTTTCAAAAGTTCAAATTTTCCTAACAAATTTAGATTTTTATACTTTGAGTTCCACATAAACCAATACAGGATGATCACAACGCATACATATTCATATATAATAACACGCCCACCAATATGTCATTACAAAAACTATGAATTATGGAATTATCTATGCTAACTCTAATTCTAGGAAAGATTAAATAGGATAAGTTGTACTGATGATCTAATTTTATCCCTTCCAAGTAGTATAGCATGTGTTTGGTTTGGGAACGAATAGGTACGAAAACGACCCAACCATTTTTAGTATTAGTCGATTCCACTATATGTTTGGTTTGGAGGGTCACATCTATGTATCTCCTAGATTCTTGTTTTAGTTGAAGGAATGTGTTTGGTGGTTTGAGACCCTTGACATGCGGGACACACATGGCATTCTCTACTTTTCCTCCTTCCATACTTCTCTAGCAATGCTCCATGTTGTCCTGATGCTTCGAGCTCACCTCGCTCCAGCTGCATCGCCAAACCGTCTAGTCTCATGTTGCCACCCCTGTACTCGTGCAAGGCACGCTGCCACCACTCGGCTTGCTGCTTGTCATACCCCAAGTTGCATGCCGCTACTTGCCATCGCCGACCTTCCCCCCACCCTACCTGAACCCCACCACCACCGTACATACTCCTTGCTGGTCCGCGCTCAGCATGCATAGCAACTCGACCCACATGCATGGCCGCCTCCGTTTTCACACTCGTTCCCACAGCTTGGCACCTTTTCACATGAGAGAAGAAGGGAGAAGGCAACGAAGAAGCAAAGATGGCACGTGGATGAGTTGGACAAAGTGGGTTGAGTCGATTGCTTCATTTTGGGCGGACGGATCGAATACCGAGCATTGTTACGAGACTTTCAAATAAAACATTTATAGTATTAAATCAAATTATAGAAGAATCGTACTCCTTCATATTTATAGCATTTTGGACACAGTCTATGTTGATAGACTGAAAGCAGGGCCGAAGCTAAAACATTGGGCCTGTTTGGTTGGTGACCAAAACATGCCACGTCAAAGATTCGGCTTGCCATAGTTTCTATGGCAGTTGTTTGGTTCGCTACCACAGCTTTGGAATGCCACACTTTTTTAGCGCCCTGCCCCACATGTCGTAGAATCATTTTCATGCCAAACCTTGCCACAAGTGTGGCTTCGATTTTGTTCGTCACACTTTCTGTGGCAGCCACAATTTGCCGAAGGTTAGGCGTGGCATGTTTTGGTCACCAACCAAACATGCCCATAATTTATGGTGGTACACACAAGCATAGCCATGTAGTAACATCACCATTTGAGAACTTATTAGCATGGTCAAAATAGGTTACTTAGGCCAGTCTCAGCGAGAGTTTCGCTAGAGTTTCATTTGCATTTAATAGCATGCCACATATGCATTTTTGATGACATGACAATGCTTTAATGAAGAGAGAAAGTGAGTTTCATAGGGATGAAACTCTGTTGGCACGATTACCGACGCTTTATGAGTCATAGAATTAAATATCGGGTCTATGAAACTATGGAAACTTTGCATTGAGAGTGAGTGTCTCATCATATTTTCATTTCATTTTAGGTGACATGATAGTCTTGGAAACAGCATACTAATACTCTCCATTGAGACTGGCCATAATGCTACACAATTTTTGTACCCTGATGCCAGTGCACCACCTGTAGATGAACGAACGTGGCTTTGTCCCTAACTGAAAGTACTACCTCCGTCCTGAAAAGAATGCAATTGTGAGTTACATACCACAAAAAGTAGTTCACATTGGTCCGAACCTCCATGAAGTCAAAGTTATCACCTTGGTGAATTTTTGTTGCATTTATCCATTCGGTGCCTTCCGGAGCAATCCTTGTGCCACAGTCCCTGGCTGCATTCAGTCACTGTTGGTGACCCTCCTTGAGTTACCGACTTCCGTTGCTATAACAGTTGTGCCTGGGATAACTTTCCTTTTCCCTGGCCATTTGCATCTTCCAGAGACCAATCCTATCGGCAAGGATGGCCTGAGTCAGGGAGGAGTCTCCATCGTCCCTGCTACCACCGCCACTGTAAATTCCCTTTCTGGTGAGCTGCACGTTGATTTCTTGTATCTCAGTCATTGGCCATGTACTGATCGAATTCTTTGATGTTCAGTTGTGCAGCTTCACGCTACAGAAAGTCCCTCCTCTGTAGCTCCTCTGCTCCACTGGTTCTCTGTTGCTTGATCGTCATCGTTTCAGCAACATTCTCGAGCCCCTGGTGAGCTTCAGTGTAGAGTCCGAGCTACATATTTCATTCTATCAGTAATAAGAACACTGCTGTTGCCGTCACCTTGAGCTCCCGCTATTGCTTTGGTGCTGCTACTCAACAGCACTGCCTTGTTTCCTTTCTTTGCTGTTGATGTCGGAAATGATCCGAATCACACACTAGCAGGGCCTTGGACGTCTGGGCCGCTACGAACCGAAGAATACAGCGAGGATGTCACTCTTTCGTGGTAAAGAATGGAGAGGTTTACAAGCAAACCACCAAAAGATAACCAACGTGCTTACATGATGAAGAACTGGCTAGTTTTTAGACAAACTAGCAAAAAAACCATCGAAGCTCTCGCCCAGAAGGGACCCGTCAGGGCAATGACATCGCCGGGTTGCCCTAGGTCGGCCGGCAAGCCTAGGGCGCCATCCTTGGTCGTCGGATCAACGGATGAACAGCATGGGGGTTAGAGAACAGGGTAAAAGGGTTGGAGTTTGGATAGATGAGAACTCAATCGGCCATGATCCTCTCATATATATAGAGGGGATTGGTCTTATCCCAGTAGAAAACCTCTCCAAGACTTATTTTCTAAGTTTCCCACGAGTTTTTAATAGTTGGGATCGAGTTTGGACTCTCCCTGATTCGGACTGCGAAAATTAGAAGTTCTGACAGGAGGTCAGAAGTTCTGATTTTCGCGCAAAGCCAGCACCTCCAGGCAAACATCAAAAGTTCTGGCAGGGGGTCAGAAGTTTTGATTTCCACGCAAAGCCATCACCTCCAGGCGAACATCAGAAGTTCTGGTGGAGGGTCAGAAGTTCTGATTTCCGCACAAAGCCAGCACTTCTAGGCGAAAATCAGAAGTTCTGACAGGGGGTTAGAAGTTCTGGTGGGGTGACATTTTTCTGAGGGAACATCTCCTTCGTCCAGACTCCGGAACACGATAGTTTAGTCCATCCTACACTTCTTCATAGAATGGACAATTTTGATTGTCAACATATACCCCCTGTTTTCAGGTGAATGATGCATAAACCTAAAAACACTTAATCAAACAAAACAAAACCAACTAGCGACGATACCCATCTCATCGTCTGCTCAGCAACTAAGGGCAATGTATACATCGGTCATTTTTGTTCTAAGGACGATACATGTATCGGCCATTGTTTGGAGAGCACTTAGGCTTCTTGCCAAACATATGGAAAGTACTTTTTTCAAATACCTCTCGTTGATTGCCCTTGTGAGACGTTAACCTTACAATGTCTCT